CCAGGTTGAGCTGCCGTTCAGCATCTTAGCTGTAGAGGGCAGTGTCACTGGCCCTCATATGTGGGATCCGAACCGGGGCCCTCTGGCGTCCCAAGCGAGTTCTCAACCATCGCGCCACTCGGCCGGCCCCAAAACAAATCTTTTTAATATCTGTAATGCGTGCGCATGCAGAGAGAGATTGAGAGAAAATATATTGAGAGGGAGGGAGAAAGGTTTCGAAAGTGGAAGCGAGGCTTAAGGACGCCTAGCCAGAAAAAGCGTGGATGCAGCGACTTGGGGCCATGCGCTTAGATGAAAGAGCCCTCCCTTCCCCTCCTGCCTCCCCTCTGCACACTGTTGCTTTCTGCTCAAACCCCAGACCCAGACATCGGGTACCTCCCTTCTGGCCTCCACAAAAAGACACAGAGCTATTTAACAGCAAGGTCTTGGTAGGAAGCTGAATATGAATTACCTACACTAATTGCTAGTGGAGCGCTAATTTTCCTGAGTTCTTATGACTGAATCTACAGTAGCACCACATTCCTCAGAGATAGTCCAGACTGTTAAGGCCTTGAAGAGGGCACTTTGAAATACCGTCTGGTTGTCCTCTGCATGGTGGCGCGGCAGGGAGACCAATGACTAACTGGGTTCAAGTTTAGGCTTGGCCGTTGATTCGTTTCGTTGTGTGATGCGAACAAACCCCAGAGTCTCTGAACCTCAGCTTTCTCATTTGTTAAATGAAGACAGCACTTTTTCAACAAGCATGTCGTAAGAATCCTCTGAAAATTAGGGCTAAGCTACTGCTTTCTAAACAGTCAAAGCACAATTTAAACAGCCAGTGTGAAGTAGTGGCCGACGTCTGGACCACGGAGTCCAGTAGCCCGGAGTCAGATCCCAGCTGTGCTGCTTCCTAACTGTGTAACTGCTCAAAGTCTCAACTTCCTTGTCTGTGAAGCTGGAGAAATAATAGAACCGATCTCATACAGTTACGAAAATAAAATTACGTAATTCACGTAAAGCTCTTGGAATGGTGCTGGATATTATAAGCACACAGGAAGCAGCTACTATTAGTATGACTGTTAACCATTCATTTAAAAAAATAGCATTAATGGTTGTAAAGACTGACAACAAAGATTTCACTAAAATCTTTATTTGGACTTTAAACTGAAGCATACTCTTGCAGGACACCCCAGGGGGTAACATGAGAAGCACTTAGGGTTACTACAACTTGACTCATGTTCTACATTCGTAGGCAGTTGTTCTTTCTAGTAGCAAGTTACATCACGCTGATTTGGAGGTCGAAATCTCCTTTTCTGTAAGGGAAGGGAGATAGATTAGATTTTATAGTTTCTTACCGTTATAAGTATTTACCAAACTTTTATGTTCTATTCTATAATACATAGCTGTTGTTACTTTTGACATCTTAGTTTTCCAAGCAATAAATTACTATCGCTGATTCTTTTTACTTCGTTTGGACAGATGTTTAACCACTTAATAAGATGTATGATTTATATAACCTGACAAAACCAAGATCAAAGGAAATTTCATCTGCAGTTTAAAATTCTCCTGAAGAAATCGGCTGCATGCACATATGGTTAAATGGCTATTAGAGTCCTCAGTATGAAAGAAGAAAATAGCTATTAAAAATTTCAGAAGTTAAAAATGGAAGACATCTATCTCAGGAATAAAATCCCAGAAAGGGGAAGGAAGAACCCACACAATTCTATGATAATTAAGCCTTTTTATAAAAGAATTTCTAGATGCTTCGATTTTAAGACTAGTATGCATCCCATATAGACCAATGTTCTCTTTATGTTGACATTGCAACATACAGTTTTCATGGAGACTGAAAACACTGAAAATTAACTTTTTTAAAACATAAAGGATTCAGTGTAATGTGAATGTTCTTTTTAATATTTTATAACACTCTTATTAAAAAGTTTGTATTTATTGTATAAGGAACTGAAACTTAACAGGAGACCCTTTCACCACTAAACTCTTTTATTTGGAGCAACATTTTCATGGGAATTGGTGAAATCCTCCTTGCTTCGATTATTATTCTTAGTCACTTACCGGTGGTTCCATTCACTCAGCACAGTGCGTTTAAGATTTGAAGCCAATGAAAACCTGAAAAGATTGCATCTCTCACAGATACCTTTTCCATGTCATTGATCAGCCCAGATGGTCAAGATCAACATTTTCAAATGCATCTGTTAATCTTTTTACCTTGAAAATAACAGGCTTAATGGTGTAGAAGAAAATTCTGGTGGATGGAATTTCCCTTGCCAGAGCCATCAGGTGTCTCACTGAAGCTGCTTGGCCAGCTCCGCCTGCCAAATGCGAAAGCATTCGCCTCCGGTGAAAGACACAGATGGTTGCTATTCTCTAAAAAATGAATCTAGACACAATTCCAAGAGTAGAGATGTCCTGAAAACAATTGCCCTTTCTTTATTGTTATTAAAGACCTAGTTAAAATACACTCTTGAGAGAAAAAAAAAAAAAGAATTTCAAAATAACCTTGTTCCCATCGTTCTACTTCTGGGAACATATTGTGCCAAAATAAACTGAGATAGAGGAAAAAACCAACAACATAGATGTTCAATACAAAATTATTTATAATAGCAAAAATGCAAATTGCTATGTTGGTTAAGTAAATAATGGTAAATTCACATTCTGAAAAATTATTTAGCCATAAAATTACATTGGTAAAGAATTTTTAATAACGTGGGGGAAAGGATTAATATAAAGTGTTTTTTTAAAAGCAGGAAATCATTGCACTTAGAATGATTTCAATATGTAAAAAAAAAATGCTTTTTAGAAAGACCAGAATATATATATATAAATCTTAATAGTCATTGGAAAAAATAAACTTTATTATTTTTTTACAAAAACCTATTCTTATGCCTACTATGATAGGGTTTGAAATGGCTTGTAATTTTTTGAAGTATATTTGAGAGAGATGAGTTGTGTACTTCAAAATGAAGAGAATTCCAGCTCTTAGAATGTTGGCAGAGGTTTGAATTCTGGCCCTCATTGTGAATGTTGTTGGCTTCGCAGTGCATCATGCATCTTGAAGACAGACTACAGGAGATGTACCTGAAAAGCAAGATGCTGTCTGAATACCTTCGTGGACACACCCGGGTGCATGTGAAGGAATTAGGTGTCGTACTGGGGTGAGTTCTGGGAAGCTCCACCGTGTCTCCCTGGGATGGGGCTGTCCTGCATTGTGCCCACTGAGGCCTGCAGCCTTAGCCAGCGCACACCTGCGGGCCCCAGTGCCTCCCTGAAGTGCCGGCGCCATCCTGTGTGTGCGTGTGCTGCTGCCCGGTGACCAGCACGTTCCTTGTGTCTGATACCAAGTGGCATGCCCAGAAACCAATGCAGAATGCTCAGATAGTGGTACTTTATGCCAGTCTTCTTCCTGGGTTATTTTATGCTGGGAAGCGAGAGATGTAACCCCACTTTGCCCGTTTCTCGTCATTTCAGCAAGATGTCGAAGTCACAAGCGGTCAGACACGCAGCAGCAGCCCGTGCCTACATTTTGCTTCCTGCAGGAGGCAGGAAAGGCCGTTCTGGGCTTTCCGGAGCCTGCCTGCATGTCTGTTGGGCGACTGATCTGTCCTCGCTGGGGTGATGAGTCCTCCAGGAGAGGAGACATGCCTGTGTTACTAACGCACAGCATCTTCCTCAGGGTCTTCGCCGTGACTTCTCTCGGAGAAATTCTGCTTAAGTTTCAACAGAGAACAGAAAGACACTGTGTATGTGGGGAATTGTCCTCCTTACCTAGGATGATGATTCCCCTAATTTGGGCAAGAAAATATTGTGTGCGTGCTGTCGACCTTGAAATCCTCTGCGAAGCCTGCTAACCGAAGTAGTATTATTTCAAGACTCAGGCCTTCGCATTCTTGTCAGGCTTTTCGTCTTTCACACCCAGGATATGACTTACTGCGTTGCTCGGCTCCTCGCATTTCCTGTCATACGTTTCCCTTACATACTTCATTTTTAAAATAGTTCCCCTTATGAGGCATTTGCTTTGGCGGTTAACTTACAGGAGTATCTCCTTGTTGTGTTGTTGCTTTGCGTTGAGGTCTCTTTTCCGGTCTCATACTTCGGTTTTGCTGCCTTCGGTTTCCCACGGCCAGATGGGTGCCTTACGTTTCTGGGACCTCTACCGGGTCCCTGACTCTGACAGGTGCCTGTCCTCAGCACCGTTAGCAGGATCCTAGGACTATTGTTCCTTCTCACCTCTAGGGCCTCTCGGTCCATTATTAGTGGGCATGATAGTCAGCCCCTCTTTAGCCCCTTCCTCCCATGGCCAGGGCAGCCCTCAAGGTGCGGGAGAGCTCCTGGTCCTCACTGAAGTGAAGGTCTGTAGGGAGCGTTCCTGGAGAAAGCACAGAAGAAACGCCATGAAGTCATGCCAGCTACCTTTTTAAATTTTATTTTTAATTGTTTGTTTTTGAAATTCGAGGGAAAGATTAAGACATATTTCATGGACTGAAGCAGTCCTTATTATTTTTTTCAGGACATTTGACCTGTGACTATGCTGTACCTGCCTCTGCTTTAAGAGAGGCAGCCAAAGCCGCGTCCATAAGATGCCACGATGCCTCTTGATTATCTGTTAGTGTCACTTTCTTGTCAGAATGTCGTAGCTCAAATGCTGAGTGAAGGTCTAAGTTACATAACCTGTGGTGCAAACCCCCACAGTTTTTGGAGACATTGCCGCCTTCATCATTTTCCTGAGACTAGTTTGAACTGAGGTGCAGAATCCATGTGCGCTCAGGATGTTGACAGGAGGAATAAGGAGACACTGGAGAAAACGTGAAAGTGTAACACATTATAGGGCGTACAAAAAAGTCAGGGACTTAGAACCCGGTGACCGCTGCTGTGGGGAGATGGGCTTTGTGCCCACACGTCCGCACAGCCCTGCGCCTCGCTTTGCCCCCGGGCGGTGTCCATTGGGAGAGCAGATTCAAAGAACAAGTTTGTCATCATCTCGCCATTTCTTTTACTTTTTCATTACTTTTAAGCAATAACCTAGTAAGCTTAGTACCTAGCAGTAATACTGAACTGTAAAATAATGCTACTTTAAAATAATCATCTTTTCTTTTTTCCATATAAGGATTGAATCGAATGACCTGCCTCTGTTGACCGCGATTGCCAGTACGCATTCCCCTTACGTCGCTCAAATACTCTTATAAGCTAAAGCTCAGGACAGTTTTTCCTCGGAAGAAAAAAAACAAACAAAAACAGATTCTCACCTGCAGGAGAAAGGAATAAGCTCTCTGTGACGTCAAAAGCAAACGGAAACAGTCATTCCACCGCTTTGTTTTGTTTTGTTGTTTTTGAGTGGATGCTTTCTTGGAACTTACGTTTACTTGACATAACTGCATGTATGTTTTTTATGAACACTCTAGGCCTTTTTGTTACCCATGAATCCACCAAGAGAGTGACCTTTATGGGAGGAGGGAGCATAAGCACTACACTGAACACTAAGCTGTCAGCACAGATTGCCTTGTGTGTTTGGGCCGAATGATGACGAGTGACTTTGCAGCAGGGGGTAGACAGAGCACGTACCATTCCACTCGGCAGATGTTTCAGAGCTTCAGCCTGAGCTCCCCACACTGGAGAATGCGTGTTTTGCTATTCCAAACAGACTGTCAGAAAAAGGACGTCAGATACCAGGGCTGAGTTTGCTTTTCACAAAAGGTGAAGTGAAGAAAGCCACGCTGCGCCATTCTCAGCGCTGGTGGCTGTGGGAGTTACACAGTCTGACATAAACATGAGAGAGGACTGACTGCGGAGAGGAGAGTGCTTTAGGGACCCACTGTGTTCACACCTCCTTGGAGTTGACCTTGTCTCAGATGCAGCCACAGGTCGGTTAGAGATGGATTGTTGGTGCAATAAACCCAAGAATCAATGTAGCATCTTAATCCCATCAAGATGGAATTTGTAGCAGCAAAGTACACAGTCTGATACCGTATGTTTAACCTTAGACTTCAGAGCTTTCTGCGGCCTCTTTAAGAGAAGCCATTTACCAAAGTGATTTCTTAAGCTCACTAGTGTTTCTGTTGCTAAATTCTTCCAGCCAAAGCCACTTTCTTCCTATAATAGTTAATACAAATGACTATTTATACTTTAAAAGGCACAGCTGTCCTAGTGGGGAATGAAACCTGCAACAGTTCAGGATGACTAAGGGAAGTAATTAGTTTGAGCGCTTATAAACAATTCATCTATGGTCCAAATTTTTACATCATCTCTGTGCCTTCTGATCCCTACATACTTTCCAAAACACCTTTCCAGAAATTAACTCACCCGTAGTATAAAACCAAAATGAGGAATTGTTTATGTGTTAGCATAGTTCCCTTTATAAAAAACACCTTAATTTTCTGTTAAAAGAAACTTTACTGAGTTTACTGATCATGGACGATGATCATGTCAGATGATGTACTGACATCCAGGGTAAAGGAAAAGACTTTAAAAAAGTGATCATTAAAAGACGAGCTAATCTAGTAAAGCAAAACATTGTGAGCACCTTCAAGATCTTGAGTACAGCTAGTTATAACCATGTTCCAATTTCCTTTCACCCTTTTATGAATTAGTTCCAATCCTTCCATGGATCCTTTGTACTTAAGAATATGAAGCAACTTCCCTGTCAGGGGTGAGAATGACTTCAGATTTCCTATTTGTTAAAACCCCCAACACCAAGTTACATAAGTTTGCCTCTTCTTTTCCAAGTGCAAGTTAATTATTTGTTTGAAAAAGCATGGCAGCAGTACCAGTGGAGAAAAATAGATTTATCATTTCTTAGGAATAATTCTTAGGAATAGGTCGGAATTGCTACCTTCACTCCTCTCTCTTTAGGATGTGAAACGTAGATGGGTGCATTAAAACTCTTAAGATCTTTACTTTTTATTTTATGTCTTTCATAAAATTGAAGCTTTCCATTTTTAGGTTTCTCTTTTTCCTTTTGCCTAACATCTGAGCTTAGTGTTGTAAATTCCTTAGTTCCATGACATCATTGCTTGTTGTGTTACACAGAGAGAATGAACCTTAACTGTGGCTTAGCTCACTCATCATTTGGTTTTCATTACATGTAAATAAATTGTAATAGCCGATGTTACATCATTTTCATCTGCACCAGTTTAAAGCATTCCCTCATCTCTAGTTCCCGTTTCCTTGTTTACACATTTTGGGCACTTTCCTTTATTCACCACCTTCCAGGGTTTCATAGAAAATAACTAGATACAAAATCAGTTCCCATTTAATGTGGACATAATGGCATGTTGAAAATTAGACCTGTATAGGGGGGAAATGGAGCTTTAAAAGGCTGATTCTAAACTTCATACATTAAAGATTTAGCCCAGTCCCCTCAAAGCCTGAGAAAAGGTAATTTGCCTCTTAATCTACTGTTCCAGAACTCTCTCTCAGAAAACGTCCTGGAAAACCAGGTGGGTCACAGGTGGGGACTGTCTCAGAGACGCTCAGGATCGCAGCCGGAACCTCATCCTCATATCTGTCGCCTGCAAACACAGACCACAAATGCTGCTGTTCTTTTATAATCCTCCTCTCAATAACATTCAAGTTTCATTTGTCTAAAATTCAACCTCTTTCCAAAAGTGGAAAAGAAAAAATCTCATGGAATTGTGTTGAGATACATCCACCCGCTCACCAGACACCATCCAGTGGCTTCATTCTGTCTCAGCCGAAGAGGCAAGAAAGGGATCCCGCCCTCTCCATGCCCACCTTGAGAAGAAAAATAAAAAGTAAAAATAAATAAATAAATAAATAGATGGAGAAAACTACCTCAGTGGACAGGATTCCACCTTTAGGGTGTCTTCAACTTTTAAGTCTTCCCTGTTGAGTGTAACTTTTGTAGCATCTTGCTCTTTCAAGCAAGCTAGTGAGGCATGACAGAGCAGAAGTGTGTAAATGTTACTGTGATGGCCCTCTATCTAGCATGTCGCAGTTTTATTTTTAATAGATCGACGAGTGCTATGAATGTAAAGATAATTGTGTATGTTTAAACGTGACAATGAAAATGTAAAATGTAGCTTCCATACCTGTGCATAATTCCAAAGTATTTTATTTTTATCAGTGTTAAATAGCTTTTTGTACAGGCTTCAATCCATTTTTCTGAAGTGTGCTGTTTTTTAATGAAAGTTAACTATAATCTTTTCACATCTCATGGAACTGCCGTTTACACATTGCAACTTTTTAAACTTACCATATTTTTCAAAAGTAACTTTTTTGGAGGGAGGAAAATCCCCGCTTGCTAAATGATACTAAACTGTTGTTCAGGCTCTTATAATTAGGCTCTGAGATTTTATAAAAATTTAGTCTAGCTTTTTAGGTTCTTCACTAGAGTTGATTGTACATAAAAATAAAGAATATAAAGTGACCCCAAAATTCTTTTAAATGTCTGGATTTTTCCACTCGTGTACTTTTGAAAGCATTTTGTTCATGCATACTTTCACCATTAAAAAAGAGTCTTTAGCTTCTCTTGGTAAATGTGAACCATTTGTGTGTTTTTTTATTGTGCTTTGAGGGAGGGAATATTTTAATAATACTTGCCTAAATCAAGCAGCCCCCTCTGAATGTCAATTTTTAAATGTCAAAATTTGGTGAACCATATATCTTGGAAAAAGATTACAATATGCGTAAATTTAAGTGGCATTTAGAAAAAGAAAGTCTGAGATTCGTTGTAATTGAAGCTCCATTAAAATAAGTTGATAGGACTTTATATTTTTGATCAATTAAAGAGATATCAATGTCAATATATGGAAAATTTTTCTTAAAACTTGTTCATGTTATTTTCATCAAATTTTCTGTGGCATTTGGTGCAATAAATCTTTTGAATTTATCTTGAACACTTGTTTGTTACATTCAATCTTAGGACTTAAGAACTTTGAGATCTCACTTCCATTATTAACTCTTGCTGAATCAATTTCATTATATATGTCAGTGATTTTCAACAGAGGTGTTTTGGAAATGTAGGGGCATTTTTGGTTAGCATAATTATGGGCGAGGGCTACTGGCACATGGTGGGTGTGGGCGGCGGATGGCAGGAGAAATGTCCTGTGATGTGTGGGACACCCCGGAAGGACGAATTGTCCCACCTCCTGCGTGACTTTGAAATATCCTGCTGGACATTCATGTGGGTAAAATGTGTGTGTGTGTGTGTGTGTGTGTGTTTATAATTATCTGCTTTGTGTGTGTGTGTGTGTGTGTGTGTTTATAATTATCTGCTTTCCATAAAAACACGATGTATATTTCACATGATTTTAACATATGCTGAACTTTCCAGGAATGCCACTGTTGTATATAAACTGAGGGAAGATTTTACCTTGTAAGGTTCAGAGTTTTAACAAGAATTGACATAATTTAGAAAACCACATTACTACAACAGCTGTGGTACTCAATGGAATTTCAGTCATCGATGCAGTGTATCTGTATCAGTCTTCATTTGTAGCCGTTGCATTCATGGAGACTGTGTAGACATAAGCACCTGCCTACTGCATTATATTTTCATATCTACTAGTGCCCCAATGTCTGTGTATTAAAAATATATTAATACAACTTCCTTTCGAAGTAGTAAACCTAGTGCACTGTAGTGGTTTGTTAGAAATTATGTGTGTAAGTAGGTTATATTTACGAATTTTATTTTAGGAAAGCAAAGGGCATTATAAAATATTTACTGTGAAAGGGATGAGATCACTGATATACATGGTCTCAGGAAAAAAAAATGCTGTGAAGTGTAACTTTTGAAGCCACATAATACCACACTGAATTATGTTGTTGTACAAGATGAGAGACAGAGCATTAGGTATTTCAAAGCCTTTTTGGATTCAATGACAATGTCAAGTGTTTTCCATAGTCCCTCATGCAGCTTTAAATGCATGCTATCGGTAAAGAACTTGACACATAACACACCACATTGCTTTCTGGTTCTCTGATGTCTGGACTGCTCTGTCAGATGCTCTATGTAGGTTACTTCATTGAATTCTGGATGAGATGGGTACTGTGCCAGTTAATTTCATGTGCCAATTTGATTAGACCATGGTACCCAGATATTTGGTCAAACACCCGTGTGGATGTTGCTGTAAAGGTATTTTTTTCAGATGAGATCAACATTTAAATGAGTACACTTTGAACTCAGCAGATTGCCCTTCCCATTGTAGGTGGGCCTCATCCAGTTAGTTGAAGGACTGAAAACAGACTGAGGTCCCCAAGGAAGAGGGAATTCTGGCTCTAGACTGCCTTTGAAAGTGAGCTACAAGATCGTTCTTGGGTCTCCAGCCTGCTTGCCTACCCTACAGATTTTTATTTTGCCACCCTGCACAATCATGTGAATCAATTCCATAAAATAAATTGACCTTTCTATGTCTTTACCCATCCTGTTGGTTCTATTCTCTGGAGAACCCTGACAAATACAGGTACTTAAGATACCATCAGTCCAATGCTATTATATATATGATGACTCCAAAGTGGAGTTGCGTAGTCCGAATACCGTCATACCAAGTTATAGGAAGTAGACTTTGAAGCAAAGATATTTAACACAGTCAACAGTACAGACCTCAGAGTTACCCCTTAAGGGTTGTGATACAAGTCACGTAGTCTCAGAATACGTGCTGCAAAGGAGATACTGGGGAACAAGAAATGTGTAAGTTATAGACAACCCTCTGAGATGGCAAGGGAGGTGGTAACACTTCATTCACAGTGGAAGAAATAAGCCCTCTTCCTGTAAGAATGAATCCTGACATTGAGTGTTAATTGCTGTGGCTGTGCACTTCCTTCTGCTTTCTTGGGATCTCAAGTCATCAGTTATCCCTTTCTCTCATTTTCAAGTTCTCAATCTACTGATTTTTTCATACAATGTATATTTTCATACAATGTATAAAAAAAATTGCTCCCATATTACGCTTTTCTCCTATGTCCCTCTCCCCCACCCCCTTTATCCTAAATTCCTCCTTTGACAACTAAGCATTTTTGAGAGGTTTCCTTGGCATTCACTTCTTGACTTCCTCTTTGTTCTCTGTGAACTGCCACCTGGCTCCCCCACCTCCCACCCCAATTCCAAGGTCTGAGGTTCAGCACCCATACTCTCTCCCCATGGGAACTGAAGGCTTTCCCCACACCCAGTCAGCTCCTAGAAAGCTGTCGAATCTAGTACTTTCTTTGGGTCTCAAATGCATCACCTTTTCGCCTTTTCTCTTTGCCCTGTTTTAGTCCCTTCTCATTTCTCAGTTGAGTTACCAAAATGCCCTCCGAACTCATCTCCCTTTCATTATCAAACAGTTCTAATCAGTCTTCTTCCACGTGGTGTCTAAATGTTTCCAAAATAAAGTTTAGTCCTGTCGCTTGTGTTTAAAAGTCAGTCCAGTAAAATCCAATTTCCTTAGCAACGTGCTCTCAGATGACGCGGCTGGTCCCTCTGCCCCAGCCTCATCACCACACACCCCTCTACACATTGTTCTCCAGCCACATTGAACCGCACGCACGTCCCCCAAAGTGCTAGGTTATCTTTGCCTTGTGAACCCGTTCTTCTGTCTTCCTCCCACCTTGCTCCATCATGTCCTTCCTGTTCCTAGCTTGAAATGCAATTCAGTGTCAATCCTCTAGTCTATCCCCTTGCTACTCAAGGTCCCTGGACTAGTAACAGCTGCATTGCTGGGGAGCTGAGACCTTCCTAATCAGAATCTGCATCTAAATAATGATCCCCAGGTGATTCGTATGCATATTAAAATTTGAGAACTGCTTTTGCGCTCAATGTGAGTAAATTGATGAGAGAAAGAATGTATCAATTACTGAGATTATGTCCATATATGTAGTGAAGGGGAGCAGTGAGACTATTTATAAACAAAGACATGAAATAGAAATGGATGATGTTGTTAAAAGTATCTGTTGCATACACATAAATTTGATAACTCTTAAGTGACTATTATTTATGTGGAAAAAAACACCTCAAACCAAAAATCAAGAAGGGAAAATAACAAATGTACCAGCAGATAGAGCTTGAGAAACATTTTGTGATTTTTTAAAAAAAAAGAAATTTAGGGAAATATAGAAGAAACAGTTTAGAAATCTGCCCAATTAGGTAAATGTATACAAGAATGGTACATACTGTTAAGTATCATAAATTGCTTTTAGAAACACTGTAATTAAGTTTCAAACTTAGGTTTATAAGTAAAAATCCAAACTCAGGCACCTGAATATAGAAAATATCCCATCACATGAGAAAACGTGATACTACTGTGTATAGGTTCGTGCTTTTAGGATTTCTCCCAAATCATCCAATACCATTGACAAATATTGCCTTTTTGGAGGCTTCTTTCAGGGTACGGTTCTGAATCTTCTAGCGTAAGAATGGAAAATGTGCTGGCATTTCTGGTAAGTATATACTCATGGTAGCCACTCGGTGGTGGCTACTGTGAGACATTATGTTGGAGGCTTTGTATTCATTATTCGCTTTTGACCTGATAAGGGCACTTGCTTCAAGTTATTTTCACTGAAGAGGATTTATATTAAAGGGGTAGAGGCTTGAGTACTTATTGAGGTATCATCCACAAGAACCCTGTGGGGTGGCCCCCAAAATGGACTTGTGGAACAAGTTTATAAAGTATCTCTGGAAATGTAGAAGAAAGCCTAGTTGATAAAAAATTTTTAAAAAGATAATTTTGAATGATACAGTGTTTTGTTTATCTCTGGAAGGGAGGAGGTGTGACAAAGTGATCAATAACCCTCACCAACAACGAGTGAAACCAATGTAAGGTGCCTCTTTGATATGCTGTCCTGAGAATGAGTGACATTACTTATCTGGGACTCCTGCCAAAACTTCATAACCTGAATTTACTCATGAGGATACATCAGGTAAACTCAGATTAAAGGTATTCTACAGAATTGGTCCATACTCTTCAAAACGTGTTAGCATTATGAAAGTCCACAACTGAGAACCTGTCCTAAATTGAAGGAGACTATAGAGACACGAAGACTAAATGTAATAGATGTGTATTACCCCAGATGTGATCATGGCTCAGAGAAAAATACAAAGGGTGTTATTTGGTCATTTAATAATATTAGATTAGGAACTATAGGTTAAATGATAATATTGTATCAATGCTAAATTTCCTGAATCTTATAATTGTACTGTAGCTGCGTGAGAGAACTCCTTGTTCTTAGGAAATACACCCTGAAATATTTAGGGGTAGAGGAGCATCATGTCTGCAGCTTACCCTTAAAAGGTAAGGAAAAAAAAATTTGTGTGTGTGTGTGTGTGTGTGTGTAATAGACACAAACATAGAGAAATAAAGCATTAAAGCAAATTAACAGCTGATTGCCTGGAGTGAATAATGTACCAGGAGTTCCCTTTCTACTGTTCTTGCAACTCTTCTGCAAGTTTGAAATAATTTCAAAGTGAAAGAGTCTTTTACCAGATTTTTTTTTTTAATGCACAAAAATATCTCAGATTTAGTGGATGATAGAAGGAGGCATTTGGGATCATTTAACCCATGATCACTTTAATCCTACAGAAAATTAGCTCAGTGATGGAAAGTAACTAATCCAAGCCTCCTCCATGCACACTGTAATAAATCATCTCATTTGGACCCGGCCCAAAAGGCAGACCATATAGAAATGTTAGCAGCTGAACTGCTCCCTTTTTCAATACAAAGTATCCCTGAGGTCAGGACCTACCACGGAGGACTTCTATAGCTCCCTCACTGAAGTTTCCAATAGATGTAATTAATTGCTAATGCATTGGATTTCTGGCGAGGAAGGGTAAGCCGCATTCTAGGAAGTTGGCAAGATTCTTCAGTGGAAGAAGGGAACACTCTTCCTGTAGCGACCAGGAGTCTCTATTCTATTTCCAGCT